TCTGAGCAAAGTAAAACAACTTTTAAAAGACTATTTTTTGTCAGGAAATGTAGATAAGAAGAGTAGAAGCAGATAAGTTGGATTCAAATGGGTTACCAAAAATAAAACTGGATAACACGTTTTAGTAGAGAACATATAAAAGAATCCGAAGAGAAAGAGTTGGACATTATGCCAAAAAAATACAAATTATTATTATAATAACAGCAAAAAAGTTGATTTTTATGCCCATAATCCCAATCAAGATTGAAATAATGCAAAAACAGTTTGGATCACAAATTAATATTAATATTTTATATTCTCATTTTAAATTTAATGTCATCTTTTTTGACCAAGTGAATTTTTTTTTTGATCAATCGGGCAATTAAATAATTTTATGACTCGGAGCTTTGCTTGAGAGTGGAGAGGCAGAAAAGTTAGTATAAAATCATTTCTTCACAAATACAATATAAATTAATTCTTCTTTGTTCAAATAAACACTTTTGTAAAGGGTTTAATTGTCCGTGTGGGTTTCGCCCACAGTTTAAGTTTCGCCAATTTCGCCAGAATATTTTTCATGGGCCTAAACCAAAATTGCCTAAGCTATGGGTCACCATCATTAATGTATTTTGATTCTTTGATTATTCAAAAAGGAGGATTAATGAACGAAACGCTACTTGTAAAAGACTTTTTATTCTTAGAGGTAAACATTTATTTTTTCATTAAAATAATGATTTTTATTGTATATATCATTAAGAAAATAATTCATTATTTGAGCTAGCGCTAGCAATTTCAGCTATGATTTTTTTTTAATTTTGGTAGGCTACGTACAATAAACAGATAAATTTAAACTAATCAATTATTAATCTCTACTTTTTCCTCTTTATCCATAATCATATAAATACTCTCACTCTTTTTGAATCCACCGCTTTTTTTTAATTTTTTTAAAATATGAAAAAATCTATAATAATACGAAAAACACGAGTCAGAAAAGACTATGAGAACACTGATTTAATAAAAAAAATTTTCAAGAAATGTCATTAATTCTTCGCTCACATATAAACAATAAATTATTATAAAAATCAATCACTTTTCACCGCTGCAAATTATCTAACGACAAAACCATTACTATTCACGTATCTGATCTTGAAAAGGTACGACTAATATTTCTTGAAAATAACAATATCTACAATAGTACATCAAATCCCAATTTTAATATTAATAACGCGGAATTGGCAAAAGTTTTTACCAATCCTTGGAGGAATTCTAGCCTTGAGCACATAAAACGAATTGATTATTTTGGCGAGCAAACTTAGATATCCGACTCGAAAGTTGGAAATCGACCACGCAAACAAACAAATTTTTAATCGTTGAACCAATGAAATAATTAATCACGTGAAAATTTTTAACTGGAAGGTTTGAATAAAACGAATCATTCAAATAACATAACTGATAGTAATAGTCTATGCACTATTAAAATTTTATTCTTTATCAGTTTTATTTTTCCTTCGTAGTCATTGTAGTGACAATAAGAGTAGTAGCAAAAGTAATTGACATTTTTTATTTTCTTTAGTCAATTAATAAATAATAATAGTCCTTTGTAGTGATAACAATAATATATTTTTTTCTTCCTACTAGCAAATAGTCATAGTAGGGTTTCTATTTGAATAAGAATTGTAATTATTTGTTTTATTCGAGTAAAACGAGTACAGTAAAACGAATAAACAAATAATTCGAATAAAACAAATTCGAATTACGATTAAGTTGTATTACGAATAGAAACACTAGGCATAAGTCTCGCCAAAGCCCACCCAAAAGAAAAAGTAAAATTTGATACTTCCTGGAGTAGTATTATAAACTTTTGTAGTCAACATTAATAAATTGTAATGAAAAGAATGCATTATGTTCATTTATAGACTTACCTATTTATAATATTGTGTTTTAAATAAAATGATATTGAATTATCAATAATGTAAAAAGTAATAGTCACGAATACAGTGTTGGCAAATGAGCACGTAATTTTCCAACATTGCTCGAATATACCAATGGCAGTATCTATAACTTAATCAGGAGAAGCTCAATGGCACAAACATTACATTGAAACGCAAATGTTTTTTTAATAAACGGGTCGCTTGGCTCCAAAAAAAAACAAGGAGAAATATTATATATTACAAAAAGTTACATATTAAAAGACACGATAAAAAATTTGTACCTTTTCACCAAAACCAATTGAAGGGCCAACTAAACTTATATATATATAATCTCTGATAACAACCAAAAAAAAAAAAAGAATTCTAGGAAAAGCTTTGTTTAAAATATTTTTTTTTTTAAATAGAGCTAATCAACGAATCCAATGATTCTTTTGTTCCGCTGGTTTTCATACATGCACCTTCATTATTTATATATCTTATTTTTTACCATCGCCAACGTCAACTAATTCTAATCTTTTAATAAACCATTTAGATAAACACACTAAAAAAAATACTTGTATTATTTTTACCGTTCCAATTTCAAAAATATAATAAATTCGAGGTTTTAGCTTTTCCCTTCTGACTTATTATGAGCTAGGGAGTTGTAAACAACGATTATGTTAATAAGTTGCATCTTTGAAAAATATTAATCAATATTCTAATTCCATCTGGATAATACACAATTATGGGAGTAAGCGCATCCAAATAGCATATGTATATGTTTTTGATTTCAAATTATACGTACATTGTGCACTTACCTCATACAATTGGTAATTCATCTTTCATTATTCGTTGATTTTAAATCTTCGCGACATTAATATAATTTATATTTTCTGGTTTGAAATAATATTTTTTTAAAATCGTTGTTATTTTCTCTTTGTTAAAATAAAAAAAAACATAAAATGATTTTAACGAAGAGGTCTATATTAACAGCAAGTTATAAAGAAATTATTTCATGTGTTGATTCTTTGTTTTTTTTTCATTCAAACATCTTACTATAATAATAGGTAAAAAAAAAAAGGATATACTGTATATTCCAAAATATTTTTGAAAGTTGTCTTTTGCAGTCATCAAATTTCCTGCATCAGAAAACACACGTATTATTGAGTCGAGACAGCAGGAATTTGATTATGACCAAAGAGAATGGATTGATTAATTTATAAAAAAGTGGCATATCAGAATAATAATAATAGTAATAATAATGAGCGCGACAAATATCGTGTCACATACTAATCGTTAATTTGCATTGGTTTCTTGAATATCACATTTGTGATAATTGTGAATATTGATAATCAATAAAAGAATATTTTATTAAAATGACAAACCGTTTGAATGATAAAGAGAAAGAAATTTTTGAGGAAGCTTTATTATGTGCAAGATATGGTGAATTAGATGAACTTAAACAATTGCTACAATCACTACTGCTTCAATCTAACAATAATGATAATAATACCACCACCACTAATAATGTTAATAATGAGTTAACAATAATAACAGCAACAAATTGTTTCAAATATAAAGATGAATTTGGCAATACTGCCCTTCACATGGCAAGTGCAAATGGACACATTGGTATGTTTTGTATTTTAGCAAGTAGTTAATTAATCTGACTTGTTTAAAATTTGGTTTTAATATTAATAATATCAACGTTCCTACTCGTTCTTTTGTTGATTTGCATGTTTGTGCGGCTGTTTGTTGAATAAAATTCAATTATTTTTAACTAAATAGAAATTGTAAAGTTTATAATAGACACAATATGTTCTTCTTCCACCAATGATGATTTTTCAATTGGGACTTTAATTAATTCACAAAATAATTCTGGTAACACGCCATTACATTGGAGTGCATTAAATGGACATTTAGATGTGGTTGAGATTTTATTGAATCATGATGATGGTAATAATATCAAGGTAATTTCCACTAAATTTCTTTGTTAAAATCTTTTTTTTTTTTTTTGGTAACTAATTTTTTACTTTTGTTTTTATTTTAGATAAAAAATAATTCAGGAAAAACACCAGTTTATGAGGCACAACAAAATAATCACGAAAAAATTGTGGAATTGTTATTAAAATATGATAATAGTGATACCAGCAATAATAATAATGATGATGATGAAGGCATTAATGAGAACAATAGCATTGGTAGTAATATTGATGACAATAATAAATCAACAGAAATTGTTAAAGAACAACAAGAAATGATTTTGAATAAGGAATAGAAGAATCAATTAAATAATTTCAAGATTTTTAATAGATAATTTGATTTTTTATATTTTGTTTTTATTTGAAAAAGAAAAAATTTACATTTTGAAGATTTTGAAGAAAAAAAAAAGAGAAAAAATAAATTGATTTGATTGTAAAATAATCAATAAGAAAAAGAAAAATTGAAAAACATACAAAAATGTATATATGAAAATATTTAATGTATTTAATGATGTATGCGAATATATTTATATATTATTCTTATTTTCCCAAATTAGTTTAAACAATCTAAGTTATATAATATTAATACCCACCTAATATAATCAACCCACCAACCCAATTGGTCCTTATCCAATCATCCCTTGTCTAATATAATTATCTCATCCACTCATCCACCCAATAAATCTACTAAATAAAAAAATAAAAATATTAATGCAAGGTATTATATATATATATATATATATATATATATATATAATATATTAAAATTTAATTGAAATCTTGTCTAATCAAAATCTAACTTTCAACGAAATAAAAGTTAATAAACACTCGAATACTAATTTAAATATTTTGAATTTTACATAATAATAAAATTGTTAATTTTCTTGACTGTCAAAACTCGGACCAAAATTTTTTTAAAAAGAAAAGCTAATAATGACTATATTATTATTATAAAGAATTACACTAAATCAAAGGTATGTTATTGTTGCTGGGTTACTTGTGGATTTTGTCTGTTAATACTATTACTGTTATTATTGTTGTTGTTGATATTTCCACCAATACCACTATTTACATTGCCAACACTACTGATATTACTAATACTCCCCATATTAATAACACCGCTAAGATTATTATTATTAATAAGATTGAGATTATTATTATTACCATTATTATTATTATTATTATTATTATTATTATTATTATTGGTATTTGTATTATTACTATTATTATTATTATTAATAGCAGTAACACGATCTTCTTTTTCTCTAATATAACTTTTCAAAAGCTCTTCCAGTGTATTATCTTGATGATCAAGTGCAATTTGTGTAGCTTTCCTAGCTAATTCCCAAATCCAAAGTTTTGGTGCATCATTATCCAAACTTTTTAAATCTATTACACCTTTAAATTTTTGTACAGCATTTGAAATATCTCGTGCAGGTAATTGATGATTAGGGTACTTGGCTTTTAATAGTTGTCGTTGTGTTGTCACGCCCAGATTGCCGTGAATAGTGTAAAATTCAATATCTTCAAGTACAGCTTTGGGCAAATTACGATTTTTAGGTGATGCAGCCTCTAATAAGGTACGATGATATCTTGGTAATGGTGTCAGTTGTTGTTGTGGCGATTGCTGTTGTGGTGATGGTGATTGTATTGTTAATGATTGGTTACTGATAGTAGTTGATGGAGATGATGATGATGATGAAGGTGATTGATGTGGATGTGATGATGATGAGTGGCGTTTTTCTCTTGATGAATTATGGTGAGGGTGATAATGAGGATGATGATGAGGATTTAGTTCGTGATTATGTTCATTGATAAATGTTGTTACTGTGATATGTGAACTTGTTTTAGGAAATGAAAGATTAATATGCCATCCACATTCAATGCGTTTAGATGTTCGATTTCTTTGTTCGTGTATTGCTGCTTTTTTCTTTGGTGTATAACGACCACCATGTTCGCAATCATAAGTACGTTTACGAACCATTCCCATGTCATCCCTTTCCACTCTCTTCTTTCTAACAACAAACCCTTTTTCACGCCCATACAGCTCTAAAACTTCATCAACTTGTTCCCAATTTAGGAAAGTTGATCCTACTGCAATCGATGTTGTTATGTTACTTAACACTGGTGTGTTGTTTGTGTTATTTGGTGCGGAGGAGGTGATGACGTTGGTTGCAGTGGTTGTAGTTGTAGCAGTAGTTGTGTTATTATTGTTATTATTAGAAGTGTCAGTGGTACCACCAGTGTTGGGGGTGGCGTTATGTGGTGTTTGTTGTTGTTGTTGTTGTTGGCGTGGTGGTATTGGTATGAAAGGTCCAGTTGGTGTAGTATTAAAACTATTTGTACCAACGTTATAACCAGTAGAAGAATTGTTTTGATTAGAGTCAGGTGACCCTGAAAGTACAACAGAATTTTGTGTAGTTCCTCCTGTTCTTTCGTTGACCAAAGCAATCGTTGCATTATAATCTTGTCCTCTTTGTTGTTGTTGCTGTTGTTGCTGTTGTTGTTGTTGTTGAAAACTAGACATTATGTCATCACTTTCATCGTAATTCATATCGCTCTTCCAAAGAAATGATTTTACTGAGCTTAACATAAGAAATAAAAAAATAAAATAATACTTTGCAAAAAAAACTATATTTAAAAAAAATATTGGTACTTATGTGTGTGTATATTATATAATGTAAAAATTACCGTTGTTTTTAAAATATTATTATTAGTTGCTTTATTATTTATTATATTGATGTTATTGTAATAATCTGAATTTTTTTTTCTTAAAGGAATAAATACTTGAGCATAATAAATTTTTTTTTTGTTTTCTATAAGAGAGGGAACTTATGGAATAAAGGATTTTTTTCCAATTAGGGAGTTCCCAAATGACGTCATAAGCCTCAAATAAAAAAACGTTACCCCCTTCTCCCACGTTATGAGACAACTGATTTTTTAATTATCACTTTTTACATAATAATAATCTCACTTTATGCTCACTCCCTCCCCCCCAAATAATATAATATATCAATTGGGGCACTCCCCAAAATGGATTGTACATTAACATTTAATACAAAATGACGAACTCTGCCGTTACACCAAAATTGCTTTTGTAAAAAAGACAAATAAAAAAAAATTTTTTTTTTATTTTTTTATTATTTTTCCATGATTTTTATATAATTAAATAAATATATTTGAAAAAATTGAAAAAAAAAACAAAAAATTTAGAAATAAATAACAATATTTTTTTTATCAAACATAAAATTAAATTTATCGTAAATCAATTACTTATTTCATAAAAAAAAATTTATTTATAAATATAGAAAAATTAAACAAAAATTGATTAATCAAATCAATTTTAATTTCAGTTAAATTTTCATTAAAATTATTCATCTTCACCTTTGCTTTGGTAATAAATCTTTTAGAATCATGACTTCAAAAGTTCTAAACGACAACAACAACAACAATAATAGCAGTACTAGTAATAGTAACAGCAACAATAATAATAGTATTAGTAAAAACCTTCGTAATCAATCTTCACAAATTGCTAATACTACAACTAACAATATCAATACTACAACGCAACAAAAACAACAACAGTTAGCACCAGCTCAACAAAGTAATTCACAGCATTATTCTACACAACAATCTATTCCTTCAGAAAACATTCCTTCTACTAATACAACTTCAATTACTTCCAACACGATTATCAATAATAATATCAATAACAGCATTAATAATATTGTTAATAAATCAACCTCGCAACCAATGGCTACAACCACCAATTACGCGACTACAAAAACTTCCACCAGACAAATTTTACCACTTGCTTATTCTCAACCACGCCCAAATATTTATGCAACTCCTAACCATAACGTTAATACATCGTATACCTCACGTAGTTCAACGCGACATGGTAAAATTTAATTTTTAATTTATTTTCAAAAAATTAAAAATATTTAAACATTAAAAAATTAAAATTTTAAAAAATTTTTTCACCAAATGATTTAAAAAAAATTTAACATCAATACAATTTATTGCTATAGGTTATGATCCTAAGATTGTTGCTTCTACAGCTAATCCATATTATTCTAACCAACAAAATATTCCATATCAAAATAGCACAAATGCTCACTATACAACTAATAGTGCAACTGCACCATTATCAACACAATTAACTACTTTAGCTGCGCCACAGTTCAGAAAATCTAAAAATGCTTATTGTTCAACATATTTTAGTCGTTTAAAAGAAGGTGATACTGCTTTGTTGGTTCCGATACAAACAAGAGGTGGTAAAAAACGACAAAGAGGTGTGAATGGTGTTGGTGCAGGAGGTACGGGTATTGGTGGTACTGGAGGTGGATTGTCATCATCATTAGGTGCAAATTCTATGGTCGACGATTCTGATGATGTAAATGATTATTTTGATGATGATTCTGCTAGAAATTCACCATCCGGTGAAAAACGTTTAGCTGTTGGCAATGGTTCAAATGGTAATGGCGATGTTCCTGTCTCTAAAAGAATTAGGAGCAGAACTAAACATATTTACAAGTAAGATATAATAATAATTTTCTATAAAAGAATTATTATTTGGATGATTGTTATTGTTCTTATTATTAATTGTTTGTTATTATATATTGTTATCAAGTTCACAAAAAGAAGTAGAACGTAACGCTGATCAAAGAGATGTTTTGATACCTATAAGATTAGATGTTGATCTTGATAATTATAGATTGCGTGATTCTTTTACTTGGAATCTTAATGGTATTTTATATTTGTTTAGTAATTTATTTATCTTTTGAAATCATAAAATCTCCACTAATTAATTATTTTTAGAAAAATTGATTACACCTGAACATTTTGCTGGGATAATGTGTGACGACCTAGATCTTCCAGTACATGAATTTGTTCCAATAATTGCTGAATCTATACGCACACAAATACAAGAACATGAACCATTTGCCGAGAACGTTGTAACTACTGAAGATTCTAGAGTTGAAATTAATGTATGAAATATATTCATAGTTATTATTATTATTTTTTTACCTATAGATAATATATAATTTATGCTAAAATTATTATATATATATATATATATATATAGCTTGATATACATGTAGGAAAAATACATCTTCGTGATAAATTTGAATGGGATCTTAGTTCGAATCTTACCCCAGAAGAATTTAGTAGAATGTTAGCAGCTGATCTTGGAATAGGCGGAGAATTTGTTACCATAATTGCACATAGTATTCACGAACAACTATTAAAACACAAAAAGGATATACGATTTTTTGATTCTGATAATGAACAAGAACGTATAACTTCAGCTTTTCGTAGTATCGAAGATTCTGAGGAGTGGTGTCCTGTTCTTGAAATATTGACGACTGATGAATTGGAAAAGATAAGAATGGACAAGGAAAGAGACATCCGGTAAGGACTACTAACTGCTTATTGATTATGAGTGGTGATATTGACTGTATTGTAATGATTAATGATAATAACTGATTAATTGATTGATTGATTAATAAATATTTATTTTTATATTATAATTCATTAGACGAATGAGAAGAGCAACTTCTCGTAATCTTAATAGATCATCAAGACGCCCTATGATGGTAGCAAATGGTAGTAATGGAATTTCACATCATAATTCTTTAAATATGAGACCAAAAGATATGTTACCCGCAGTACAAAAGGGATCAAAGATGACAGCTGAAGATTTAAACGCTTGGAAATGCTTTCATTGCGGTATTGATGGAAATAGTACTCCATCAATTAGAAGAGGACCTGACGGTGGAAAGGTTTGTTTTGAAAGAAAAATTTATATTTTAAAAAATTTGGTTTTTAATTAATTATATTTTTGTATTTATTAGACATTGTGTAATGCTTGTGGCTTGGTTTGGTTGAATAAAGGAGAATTGCCACAACATAGAAAATCGATGTTTAGAGTAGATAATTACATATAAATAATTGTTAGAACAATATTAGATAGAAGTGTACAAATTGTTAAAAAAAATCAATATTTTAAAATTTAAAAATCAATAATTTTCTTTAAAAATTTTTTTTTCTATGAAAAATAATAATAATATTATAAGGTAAATTATTATAATAAAAATATAATAAAAAAAGAATTTAAGAATGATTAGCTTGTTTTAATTCTTTCTTATTATTAGCATGGTAATGACTCCTTATATACTTATCTACTTGGCGGATCTCATTATTGTTCAGTAAATTAGAAAAAATAATCTTTCAAAATGGCAATAAGAAAAAAGTTATAAAAATAAAATTCATTGTATAGACTTATTAATTATATTTACATAATACAAAGAATTTTATATTTATTGATAAGTTCTTCTGCTACTCATTTCGTTCTTTCTATTCCTATCTTCTTTCACTTTAATAATAATTTACAAAGACATATAATTATCTTCAAAATTTAAGGAATTATCTTTAGGATTTAATTTTTTCCTATTATTAATGCTAATGTTATTATTGTTTATTAGTTGTTGATGTGACATTGATTTACGATGTTTCTTTTGTTCAACAACATTATAATTTAATGACTCAGATTTTTTATGTAATGTTTTTGATGTTGGAGAACATGCTGATGAATAAGATGTTAATGGTGGTGATGTAGGTGCGAATGCTGATGATGGTGATGCTGATAATGGTGATGCTGATGATGATGATGATGGTATTATTTGATATAATTGATGTTGATCATTATATTGAATTGGTAAAGAGTGATTTCTATTATGATAATTAATTAGTTGTTCTTTCTCTTTAATTATATAATCTTTATTATGGTTAGAATTAGATGAAGATGAAGAAGAACGATTATGATGAATTGTTTGTATAGGATGCCTTTTATTTTTATTTTTCATTTTATTATCGTTAATAGCCATTAATGAATTATGAGTAATAATATTTAAAGATGACTTTGACGATGATGACGAAGAATTTTTCTTATGATGTTGATGATGATTTTGATTTGAAATTTCTTCGAGTTTAGGTAAACCAGCAATTTCTCGAATGAAAGCAATTTGACTTAATATTGATTTCCATAAAATTGTCCAAGCTTTTTTTTTTTAAAAAAAATTAATTAATTACTTGATTTATATAAAGATAAATATAAAGCTTATATAAAATAATCGAATTTACCTAAAGCAATGAGTAATATTACCATTATAAAAGAAAACAATAGATTTAATATAACCTTAAATGATTCAATAAGGTAATCCATCGTTTTTCAAATTTATAATTTTATTATTATAATTTGAAAAGTGTATTGTACAATTTTGCAAACATGTAATCTTTGTCTCAAGTAATATGTGCTTAGAAAACAAAAAATTGTAATATAAATATAATAAATTAATTTTTTCAAAAAATGACTCTTCTATATATAGTTTTATGATTTAAAATAAAAAGAAATTTGTTTGAAATTATTTGAAATTGATGAAGTGTTATTTATTTATTTATATACCAATCTGGAAAGTAACTGCTGATAGATCCTAAAATTAGACTAGTATATACTAGATTTATTGCGAGGCGTAGTCATATTTCTGTAATAAATTAGTTATTATTATTATTATTATTATTGCTAAAAATTTTCCGGATTTTCATTTTTAATATTAACCTCTGGAAAAAAAAAGAGTTTCCGGATTTTTAAAGTACTATTTCCAGCGCTGGTTGTAAAGTGAACATTTTAGTTTGTATTACCAAGAATACAGGGACCAAAATTTTTATCACAATTGTATTATTACAAATTACCTTTGTTTCAAATGCATATTTGCTATTTCTTTCAATTATATTTTCATTTAATTCCATTTTTTGGAACCAGTAGCAAAAACCAATGAAATCAAATTAATTAAAAGTGAGGGCACCAAAAATCAATAGTAATACTTGTCCAGAAAGATTTTTTGGTTGAGCAGTATCTGCATTGAGTGAGAAAGCAAAGGATCTGGATAATTTTCAATTCATGGCTAAAAGTAGTAGCAATTAAAATAAACTTTGATAAATCCACTTTATTAAACAATTCAATGTTTTGTTGGGAATCAAAAACTGTGAAAAAAAGTGCAGGAAAAATTACTCCTGAAGAAGAAAGCAAATTTAAAGTAGCTAAAGAAGAGGAAGTTGACAGGGAAACTTATTGGAGAAGATTTGGAAACTGTGATAATTTGCAAATATTTATTTGGTTTATGATTGGAGGTATAATTATTGGCTGATTGAGTAAGCAAAATATTCCCCAAACCTTGGTACAGTCAGTAAAAAAAAAATTCCTATTATCATTGGTTATGTACTTAAGAATTTCCTATCATTTGCTTTAAAAATCAAGCCTTAGAAGAAGCTTTATTGCCTAGAGGTTGGAATCGCCCCAAAAAATTCTTAGTTGACTACTAGTTGGTCAAAATTTCTTTAGTCAACTATTAGTTAGTTATTTTAGTTGACTATTTTAGTCAACTATTTTAGTTGATTATTTAGTTGATTATTTTTAGTCAACTAAATTTTTTTTTTTTAATTTGCAAATTACAAATTCATTTCAAAATACTTCCACACAAAACCATGTGTTACGATTCGTTTTTTAAAGGTTTTTTGGAACCACCACTTAAAGCATTGGAACTTGAAGCCAATGAATATTGGACCTTGTATTGGAAATGTTTATTCATTCACATGTAAAATTATCATCAACAACACCACCATTATTGTCACCATCATCATATTGATACTCTTCTGCATAGAAATTTTCCATTTTGAATGATAAAACACAAAAATCATAATTGGTCAGACAATAATAATATTAGCATAGTATTAGTAGTTGACTAAATAATCAACTAAAATAGTCAACTAAATAATCTATTAAAATAATCAACTATTAGTTGTTTAAAAAAAAAGTTTAGTCAACTATTTTAGTCAATTCCAACATCTATATTTTTTTGAAAGAGTTTCAGCATGTCATCCTGGATTCCCCACCTTATACAGGTGTTTGGACATGTATATATGGACTTTGATATAGAAGACATTCTAAACATGCTAAAAAAGCAGGCAAACAAGTAAGTGCAGATTTTTTTTCACTACAAAAATTAGGAGGGTCCACCAAGTTGTTCTATATGGTATTTTACATGTATATTTTACAATTTAGTGAGTTTGATGACTCTTTGTTGCCCAAGTGATGAGTGTGTGCACTCCTAAGTTGTTCTATATGATGTTTTGCACATATGTTTTATGATTTAGTGGGTTTGGTGATCCTTCATTGTGATCTACAAAATTTTTTTTTTTGTTAGAAATTTGTCAAAGAAATTTAATATTCAACCATCATCTGGGAAAAGTTAGCAATTTTTATAAATGGGTAATATGTGTAATGAAACTTCAGTATTCAGGAATTTATCTAATGGTTGGAGTGGTCAATTGTACAATCCAAAATTCTGTTAGTGAACTAGAATCAATTATGAAACTGCATCAGACTTTGATAAGCATCAGGGTAATTTTTTTTCTTTTGCATTATTATTTTGATAATTAATTTAAAAAAAAAGCACTCTGATTGTAAAGTAAAACTTATAGGGGGCTGCAATAGATTGTCTTAATGAGGCTGGATATAGTACATCAATTAGAACAAAACATCTGGATTGGATTAATCCAACTGCGACTACATCAAGTAAAAAGATCACAAATCTAAAAATCCTTAAAGAATTAAGTTCATAAAATAATAAATAAATAAAATTATAAATTGCATAACTTGTGTCAGTAACAACTTAAAAAGAATTATTCTAAATTTTTTTGCTTTTCAATACTATTGATGATTTAGTCAAGGTTTCAATTTTTGAAATATATCTTATAGTCAACCTATTTTATTAATATTGGTTAATACAATTGCAATGCTAAACAATTTGGTCCACTAGTTTTCTGTGTTAGTAATTAAATTAATTATGGCTATTATTACTATGTTAATATGAACTTTTTAATCTAAGATAAATCAAATAGTATTAGTATACAGTCAGATCTTGTTTCAACAAATTTTCATTTTTAAAATTTCTTCACATAAAATTTGTTTAATTTTCATTGTAACAAAGGTTTGAATGTAATTGCTTTCATAAATAAAATTATTGTTCTAATATTAATCAGTGAATTCCGATCATAAATGTTAGTTATTATTACTATGTTAATATAATTGACGAAACTATATGACTTCTTTAATCTAAAATAGAAGTAATTTTGGTATAACGAATTTTAGATGCAATTTTACTTACGTGTTCCCATAGATTCGTTGAAATAAGTTTTACTTTGTGTTCATTCGTATACATATAAATATATATATATATATATATATTATCATCAACAATTCCAACACCAACGCCAATACCATAAAATATAAAGAATATTTTGCCATGTGATTAAGATCATTGATTATTATTCATACACAACATTCATAATATTCATAATACTTTTGGTTATTCATAATATTCATAATACTTTAGATTATTCATAATACTAGTAATATTTTTGGTTATTCATAAGAACGAAATTTTTTGATCGGCAACTATGATACTAATACATAGTTCCGCAGTTTTTGACGATCTTTTTTTAGATAATGATATAATGAAATTCGAAATTTGAAACAATTGCACCAGATTCAGAAGTTCCAACAAAGGATCAATATAACCATTTAGTTTTATTTATTTCATGAGTAAAATAGCCCAAAGCACGTTTGTTGTAAAGAATTCTTTTGTTTTCCAATACAAATATTTTAAAAAAAAAATATAAAAATATATTTACCCATGTTGATAATTAGGCTTCATTCAAAAAAAAATTATACATGTTGTCAAAAATAATTTGGCTTTAACTTAATTCAATTTTTAATTGCGTCTAACTCGAATTGGGTTTTTTTTGGTTCAACGACATTAATCTTGCCGTGACATTTTAAAGTTACACATACAATTTTAAATGCATAACACCCTGGGGTGTCTCACATCATATGATTTACAAACATAGTTGATCACACATATATATAAATTTTCATTAATAAGGATTTTTTAGAGGTTTTGCGGATTTATTATTATTTTTTTGGTGCCACAAAGATATAATAACAAAACACAACTTTGATTAGAATAATTATTATTATAAATAAAGAAGTTACAAGAAATTGTATAATAATATTTTTAACGGCTGTAAATTGTTTGTTTGGCTAGTACTATATAGAAATTATAAAATTTAGGTGTAACACTAAAATTTAGTCAAAATAGGATTACAAAAATCGAAATAATCTTAAACTATATGACGTATCTAAATGACATGGTTTGGATTCGCATTTAATGCTATTTAGGCGTATAGAGAGCTTTTTACAATTTTATTTTCATAAAATTTTGTATTATATATACATAACTTTCCATTTTTTCTTTTAGCTTAGAATAAGTGATATGATTTATATTAAAATTAAAAAAAAAAAAACTCTATAGGGACATTGTCCTATCCTTCTAAACAACAGAATTTTGTGTAGTTCCTCCTGTTCTTTCGTTGACCAAAGCAATCGTTGCATTATAATCTTGTCCTCTTTGTTGTTGTTGCTGTTGTTGCTGTTGTTGTTGTTGTTGAAAACTAGACATTATGTCATCACTTTCATCGTAATTCATATCGCTCTTCCAAAGAAATGATTTTACTGAGCTTAACATAAGAAATAAAAAAATAAAATAATACTTTGCAAAAAAAACTATATTTAAAAAAAATATTGGTACTTATGTGTGTGTATATTCTATAATGTACAAACTACCGTTGTTTTTAAAATATTATTATCAGTTGC